CATGATGATCTTTATATTCAAAGGTACTATCTGATACATCTGAATGTTTATAAGGCAGCTACCTCTGACATCCTAAAACAAGAAAAGAGAAATTATTTTCAAATTAAAAGTAATAATCCAGAAGGAAAATTAGATAAATTGAATACACATGTTATAATCATAGAAGTGGATACAAGCATATAGATAAATATATTCATGTATATAACAAGCAAACAGCTGGGATTCAGGGATTTAACTGAGATAAACAAAATGAGCCTTTAAAATGCTTTACCAATGGTCAGGTATCCAACAGCCTTGGATTTGATCTCTTCTGTCAGTTGTTGAGTCTGATTCAGACAGTCCAGGATGTAAATATTGGGAGTGACTAGGGCCATACTCTGCTCTCCACAACCAAAAGGCATTTGGAGACGACTCTGTAAATTTTGCATGGCAGAACTGAGAACGTCTCCTGAAAAGTCAATCAAATCAATATGAAGGACTTTATAAAAATTGATCAAATAAGTAATATTAGTTTATATTCAAGATCTCTATGCCATAGATATTCAAAATAATGATTTTTCAATATTATCTGCATCTTCCTCTCTCTTCTACTTGTTGGGCCCACACTGTGGAATTAGCAAGACACCTCAGGGCCTTCTTTCCAGAACTAATGTGGAGATATGTTGTCCAAAGAAGCACAGCCAAGAGCAGAACCAAGAAGTTTGTGGGTATCAAAATTCCTAGAGAGCTCCCAGGATGAAGTAGAAAACGCCAAATCGATTGTCATTCAAAAAGGACAGAATTTGGGACCCAAATGTTTACCATTTATCAGATACTGTTCTGAGCACACTGTTGATACTAATTCACTCAATCCTTATAACAATCATATAAATAGGTGCTATTGTTCTCATCTATATCGAAGCTGAGGCACAGATAGGTTAAAAATTTTTCCAATATCACTTAAAAAAGATGTAGCAGAGTCAGGAATTGAGCACAGGAAATAGGGCTTCAGAGCGCCTGGACTTGACCACTTCCCTACACACTGTCTACCAATGCTGAGCACTTATTATGTATCTAGAGGTGTCTAAGCATCTCGATACATTAAATTTTTATGACAATCCTATGATTATTATAAAACCATAAGTAAAATTATTATCTTCATTTAAAAGATTAGGAAATGCGGTACAGAGAGATCTGGCAATTTGCCCAAAGGGATATAGGAAGTAGTGAATCTGGGATTCAAACCTAGGGCGGCCTTCTGGTAGAATCGCTTCTCTTAACCACTATGCTTTGCCGCTATAATGAACTTCTACAGTCTGAAGACTAAAATCATGTCAAGTATCTTTTCCAGTCACAACTGCGTGAAACTAGAAATAAATAACAGGAGGAAAACTCACAAATATGCAGAAATTGAATAATATACTCCTAAACAACCAATGGGTCACAGAAAAAATAAAAAGGAAAATCAAAAAGTACCTTGAGACAAA